TGTTCCGTGTACCTATTTTTTTTATTTATTTCCAAACAAATTTAAACCCGTGTTTGTACTGTTGGCGCAATAGTATTTATAATTTATTTCTGCATGTAAAATATATTATTATATTAATACCAGCCAGTGTGTCAAAATAAATAAGGTGTTATCGTGTGTACCGTGCTAAATTGTGTACCGTGTATAATAATTATGTACCAGAGTACAAACATAGCTTCTGTTCTGTTTTTACTGTAAGTATTTTGTGAATTATATATTAAAACTATGAAATCATAGAGTCATTTAATTTCAATTTACTTTTATTACTTTCAATTTACCACAGATTACATTAATTACAACTATGTCTTTGAAACAAACCTTTTTTGTTTTATTTATCTATCTTTATTTCCCATCTTTTATATTAATTACTATACTATTGCTACATTTCTATGGATACGATTCGTCGTATCGATTTTCTAATGACATTCGCGTCTAGAAATGTCTAAATGTCTAGGCTAATGATTTTGGCACCGGTTAAACGGCAGGGTTTACAGCATTGAAAGGGCGACATCTATCGGTGTAGTATGTAATAAACGATTTGATGGATTTCTCATGCTTATTACAACAGGGGTGTCGAGTTGTAATTCCTTAGCAGAGGCAAATCCCGCAACGCCTCCATGCTTCCCTTGTGTTGATTGACGTTGGAATTAATTTGGGCGCACACTCCGCGTTCTGGATGCGAGTCTGCCACCTAACGTGTTGTGCCACCTTGTCTGTCATTATTTACGTTACGTCTAAACTGAGCTCCAAGATGTGTGATACAAGTAATGCTCGAAAATGTTCATTTTGGAGTGCGTGTTTGAGAACACTTATCGTGGAGAATGTCCGTTTTTTATGTGAGAAGGTGGCAAACGAGGTGATATTGGAGTCGCCGCCCGTTGCCAATTGCAACACTCGTAGGGTTGCAAATGGGGTGGCAAAAAAAAACGGGCCCCGGCTACCTTACTCACCAGACGAAATGCAGAAGTATAACCCTTCCACTTCACGCCGGTCTTCTGTTAGCTCGTGGGATTTACCCTGACGGTCCTTCCCGTTAGTGCATCAGAGAAGAGTGTTGTCTGGCCCCACCATCATACAGTGATGTAGGTACAGCATATTTTTTATCTTCTGTATTGTCAAATTACTTGCTATATAATTAGATATTCTATTTAATTTGATTTTAAACAAAACGGTTTAGTAGGTATAGTAATTAGATCACAAACTAAAACATACACAGAGAGGTAATAAACACTTAACCTACAAATATGTTACCCACTTATAACTAAGCAAAACATTCACTAATCGTAGAGATAAAAAAATATTTTCTAAATAATTAAAAATTTAATAATATAGATCAGAGGTGGCCAATTTATCCTGCATGATGGATCAAAATACACTATTTGCATCTAATGCTGCAGTTTAGACCGATTGTTGATGGCACGCAACGCCACATCATGCGTCGTCAAACAGTTCCAGTTAGGAGAAAATATTACCCAAGAAATATTATTTGCATCAGAGAGTGCAACATCGAAGGGGCTATAGATTTTCAAAGATCTTTTTGAAGTGGTTCTAAGTTGTTTGTCAATTTTTTTCCAACTGTAGACAAATATGCCCTGAAAGATGTATATAATACTATACTACTACTACTATATACTTGATATATGTGGTGTTTACCTTTAATTAATTGTGCATTTAGCTATAGAAATATACTGTGTACTAATTCTAATGAATGTACAAATATAACAATTGCTGGTGAACCAAATAAATAAAATAAAATAATATTTGTCGCTTGTTTGAATTTGTTTTCCGTAACATTTTGATCGCTTTGAGGATGGATATGCGGCTTTTTTGTCTATATTTAGTAGTCCGTGTCTTGTTTGACTTTTGATACGTACTAATATTACAGATGCGACAATCTGTGAGCTCAAGTATACTTATGCCCTCTCCATTAAATTTGTATTAGATTTGTCGATGTATGCTATAGACAAAACTGAACCATTTTTGTCTCCAGCCTGCATTTCGGCTAACATTAAATGTGAACGTGTGTTTGTCGGATTGTCAAAAAACCTGCATGAATTAGGTAAATTAGTAGTACATTTCATCGGCAGGGAGTGGTAAAGTTTATTTTGTAATGGGTCATGCAACAGTCATCGCACCAAAGGACAGGTATAAATCCGGGGAAGTACCGCGTACTCACGGTCGGCGTGAAGGGGAAGTGTCATACTTCTTTCTTCCGGCGAGTGAGGTAACGGCGGCCCACTTTATTAAAAGGTGAATCAGGTGAACCGCCAGCTCGCTTACCAGCTTGTCACATAAAACAAATCACTTATATTAGTGCATTTTATGGATTTGCCCTCCGATATCTTTCTCGGCCGTAAACTGTGATATTATCTCTTTCTTTCGATCTACGAAGAAGTTTGTGCTAAACCTTATATTTATAGTGCCTTGTGGAATTGCAGCGATGTCTGTCTGGATCTTATTCGATATGTATTTTTATGTGTAGACGGGCATACCGTGTGTAGACAGAAGGAATTGAGAGGCTCATAAAATGAACCTTAACGCAGCCTTGATTATCAATCTATTCGGGATTGAAACATAGAATTTTAGAGAAGAATTTTTTTTTTTATATTCCTCCTGAGAGTTATGTAATATCAGGGGATGAGAATATCTCTGATTAGAATAAAGGGGTTAGAATAAACTTGCGAGGGGTTGGAAATCTGCCTTTGGGGTAGTAAAATGCGTGATTATATCGATAATTTACTTTTTGTAGATACAAGCAGATTTATCGGTGTTAATCGAAAGTGTACCTACTATGAAAAGTATAAAAGGGGATAAAATGATTCGTATACATGTAGATATTATAGACAAAACAGATTTTTACCGACTAATCTGTAAACGCAATGGCTTAACCGCAGAGGTTGAATACAAGAACTAGTTTTGTGTATAAGTCGTTGTCGGATAGGCGTGAGTACAGGACAACGTCTGCCTAGTTTGCTAGTTTATTAGGGTTCCGTAACCATACGGTAAAACGGGACCCTATTACTAAAACGAACCGTCACCAGGCTGTATCTAATGAACCGTGATAGACTGTTGAAATTTTCACAGATGACGTTTTTCTGTTGCCGCTATAACAACAAATACTAAAAAACATAACGAAAAAATATTTAAGAGACAACAGGCATGATTTTTACCGTTTTTGTTGGTATGGTACGAAACCCTACATGCACGATGCCGACTCGCACTTGGCTGGTTTATTTATGTAATACAATGTTCGTACCGTTCGCGCGGTTATAAGAAATCACACTTTATCTACCGAAGTATACGAGAACGCCGTCGGCATACATCAAGTTCCCGAGAGGGCATTATCTTATGGCATTTATGGCCCACTCTCTTAAACTTTGTTATGATAACGCGTGGAAGTTTCACAGTTTGCGTCCGCGCAAACGCTGAATAACTGCCCGAAGATGCGAGACGAAGGAACGGACCGGCGGAAATGTTAATTTTTTGTGCATTTCATATTTCACCGAGAGAGAATTACAGAACTAGTTTGTTTAACGTAGCGGGCTTGTTAAGTGTAGTATTAAGGAGTAATAATTTTTAACAAAAAAGATATCGACTTCAATCGGGACTTAAAAAACTTTGTTAATACCTATAACATTTGAGGTTTGCCCTCGATTTCTCAGGGATGCCGTCATCAGATCCGGGTTTCCTTATCACGGTACCACCCTTGGGATATCTCCTTTCCAACAAAAAACGAATCATAAAAATCGGTTCATAAACGACGAAGTTATCCGCGAAAACACATAAAAATAATAAAAATGTATACGGTCGAATTGAGAAACCTCTTTCTTTTTTGAAGTCGGTTAAAAAGTGAGGTTTCTCGTTGATAATAACGATCGAATAATGTTGCTTCTATACAGTCCTTAATACTGGAATTAATTGATTAGTTTATTTATTCTTAATAAATGCGGTAGAGCCACGCAACACTCTTCTCTATTGCACGAATGGGCAGGTCCGTCCGGGTAAGTACCACGACCTCACAGAAGACCGGCGTCAAGTGGAAAGTTAAAAATGTTACACTTCTGCGTTTCGTCTGGTGAGTGTGGTTATTAAGAGGTTGCAACATCTCCAGCCTTACGGGTGTTTCAATTTTCAATCGCTTAACATCAGGTGAACCGCCAGCTCGTTTGCCACTCGTTTCTCACATAAAAAATGCATTCAAAATATGTACAAATGGTCCAGATGATCCAGAGATGTTACAGTAGGTGCATTATTTTTTTCTTTTGTTTTTAAAAAAGAACATATAAAAAAATAATTATAAAATGAAAAGAGAAATAGAAAAATCGAATTATGGATTCTAACATGAAAAACAAAACTAGTCATATTAAAAAAATACTATTCAGTGTTATATTAAAGTAAAATAAAATAAGAAAATTTAAATACACAATGTATAGACAAATACATACATAAATAAATATATACATATACAATATACATATTTATTATTAACGATCAAGTGAATCTGTTAACTTTTTGAGCGGATACTTGCGAGATTTTCATTCAAATGCGAAGTCTATGACCGTCCTTAAAGAAAGGCGTTCCACTGAATATATGTGTTACTTATATTTCTATATATACTTGTATTAGACATTTGTTTCTTTCGGTACTCCAATTACGCTGCAAATGTCCACATTTTTTGTTTTTAGTAGTTAGCATAACTGAGGCGAGCTATATTAATGATATCTTATATTGTGACGGGTAAAAAGGTTTAGGCGTAAAGCGTACCAATGTACAACATACATCCTTCGGAGTCGGGTAAAAACAGACCACAAACCACTGCCGAGGTGGCGCTTAGCGTCGTCTAAAGTCTAGAGTAATCATTTCAGCTTTTAGAGCTATTATCATTTCATCTCCTAAAGTAAATGTACAGAGCGAACTCTGTTCGCTAACCCGTTATTCGGATTATGTCTTCGATCCTCTTACAGTAAGTGTGTTAAAGGCTCTAAGGCGAAGGGGGTAGGGGAGAGGAGTGGGGGCCAAAGGGAGAGGAGTGGGGTCCAAAGGGGAGAAGTGAGGGGCAAGGGGGAGATTAAAAACATGAAAATCTCGCCAGCGTCGCCGATCATGCTTGGAGAGGATTCCAGACGTTTTCCGAAGCCGTACCTTTCTGTGTTGCGAATTTGTTTCATTCTAGCTATTTAATTCCCCGACCAGATTGTGCGCGGGGATGGAGTGATAAAGGTTGGACTTTCAGTAGAATTAGAAGTAAGTACAGTCGGCATCGAATTCCATGCTAGATGCGGATATAATACCCTGATATTATATCCGCGTTTAGATTGTACTGTAGCTGCTGGCTGGATATTGAGTGGGAAAATTTATGTGAAATAGAGTATTTCCCGTGACCATGAACGCTGTAGCGTGTAAAGGGTTCGAAACTTCGGGAATTAAAAATTAAGAACGTGATAAATCCGTAAAATATAGTTTCATTCGTGAATATTTCACATCAAAAAAATATTATCAAGCGAAATTTTGTAGGACTGAAGGTGCAGTGCTGTTCTGTTTTATAAATTGAATCCTCGTTGCGGCCGTATAACCTTTGCCTTTTTATTTTAAACAAAGCAAAGCGTACCTTTGAACTTTGCGTTTGCGGTTTTCGTCTCGCTTGTGGGTGTGGGCGAAGCCGAGTCGTCTGGAAATGCATATCTAAATTTCAACCAACGACCCCGTACACACGACCTTTCGTTTGAAAAGGTACTACCTTCTACAATCTTATACGGTATATCAACTATATCACTGCATAGTATAAAACAAATTCGCCCCGCTGTCTGTCTGTCCATATATATGCTTAGATCTTTAAAACTACGCAACGGATTTTGAGGCGGTTTTCTTTAATAGACAGATTGGTTCAAGAGGAAGGTTTATATGTATAATTCATGCATAATTTAGTAGAGAAACACTGATAATTTTAAAGGTTTCTAACGCGATGTCGAGAACAAACCTTCAGAATTGCACCCGTGCGAAGCCTGGCGGGTCGCTAGTATCGTATAAGACTGTACAAGATAGTAACCTCTCGGTGGATTAGCACAGCGTATGTTATTCATACGAGATCCTTTTGTTTGTTTACATCAGGGTGAAATAATTCAATACTCACATGAGATTTCAAGTCTTCCTTTTGAAGTGACTGCGTGAACAACTACATATTTTAGTGGTCTCCTTACTTTCAATGATAGTCTATTTAAAATTGTTCGTCGTCTATCGATGTTCTATATCTGTGAGTCAGATATTGAATGTCAGCCAAAATGTGGATACAGGAAGTTCAAAAAGTAACAGTTTCAGGGAAATATTTTGTGATGAACACAACAGTTTATATTGTCTGGTTGTTAATATATGTTTAATATATTGATTTAAAAAATAATAGTGTCTGCCGTAAAGGAAGCTATATAACTATGGTAGGTAGCTTCGCTTGTTGCACTAATGGGCAGGTCCGTCCGGGTAAGTACTACGACCTCACAGAAGACCGGCGTCAAGTGGAAGTGTTATACTTCTGCGTTTCTTCTGGTGAGTGAAGAATGGGATACATTCTATTAAAAGGTGGCAACGCATCTGCAACCGAACAGGTGTTGCGGCCTTCTCACATAAAGAAGCATATTAGGTGATGTCAAGCATTACTTTTAAAAACGCAATAAAAAGAAAGTAGACTAGACGTGGAGATTTCACAGTAAGGATGTCGAATGTTTAGCTTAGTGGAAAGAGCGTCTGGACGAATAGTCAGGGGCGGGTTCGATTTTTGGGTGGACACATAGTACAAGCTGCTGCTCCTATTAAAATTTTGTAAAAATATGTCCAAAATGGTCCCCGCAAGACATAGACAACTAGTGTTGTCAACAAAACAATGAGTCTTGTCGAGTCACCAGGGAACTGATATTTTATGCAAATGTGTATGTCGGTCGTGAAATACAAATTACACAGCGTTGTGAATCCAATTCATTAGGATGCAATTTATTCATTTCATAAACGGAACGAACGAGATTTCGATGGTAACATTTTTACTTATAATCTCTATAGCTCATTCATACGTCGCTTTGGGACTTACGTTTTAATACGAATTGCTTAAGATTCAGACTATATAAAGAAAGTAGAAGAAAACACGCCTTTTTAACTCAAGAACCGGCCTGTGTTTGAGTACTATCCCATATGATAGTAATAAAAAATGTAACGTAAATGGTAAACGCACTAGCTCATCGTCATATTTTAAGCCTGTTTGAGTCGACTGCTGATCATAGGCCTCCCCCACAGACTGATCGACTTCCCGCACACTTGCACAGATCGTCACTCCATCTAGTGGAGGTCTTCCTACACTGCAATGGCCAACACTAGGCTGCCACTTGAGAACCTTTGTTCCCCGTCGGTTATCGGTTTTTTGAACTATATTATGGCCGGCCGTTGCCACTTGACCTTAATAATCCTTACGCACTAGCTCAGTAACAGCTTATTTACTCTTGTCCTATAGCGGAGTCTTATTAATAGGGTCCCGTTTTACCCTTTGGGTTCGGAACCCTTAAAACAGCGGTGGGCTTTGTATTTGTGCGCAGTTAACAAATAAGATATGATTAACAAAATGAGTAGGATATTACGGGCTTTGGTTAAATACTTGTAAAGAAATAGTATATATATTCTATCCCCATTCAAATGTTGCCTGAAAGAAGTTACTTTAAGTAATAAGGCAGCCAATTTTTCAAGGCATATGTAATTGTTATTTTGAATGTATTTTTTATCATGATTTGTACAAGAAAGAGTATTCATTCATTCAAAGAAGTCATTGCACACGCGTTTTTTAAACTTAATGATAGTTTTATTTAAATTTAATATAAAGGTTAAATATCAACTGGATTAAATTAATAATGCAAACTAAATACATGACACAAACACAAACCCAAACGTTAACATTCATCGGAGAACAGTTTTTCAAACGTTATATCTGAAAAAAAAATTGAAATCTTACCAAATGGGGGTTGGACACCTTTACCTTTGATCGCAAGTCGTGTCCCAGCCACTGAGCCATCGCTGCGTGAAATAATGATCCCTTACAAAATGATAGATTATGTCTTCCCCAGCGCCCATTCTTATTACTGACTGCTAGGGCCCTTTGTCCGCGATATTAAAACCTCAGGATTGTTAAGACAATTTTATTGGATATTTCACAACCGCCCCACGAGTTATTACAGGGGGGTATTAATTCTCCTGAAGTACGGTAGGGAAATTATAAACAATTTTTAATAGGGATTAATGTAATTGATAAGTTTCCCCTTATTACACGTTTAATTTAGTAAACAGATAATATTATTAGAGTGACCGTTGAATTATTGACTACTTATAAAATTTATAATGTTTATTCAAAGTCAAAATTTCTTTATTCAATGTAGGCTTACTTTAAGCTCTTATTTAACGTCAAAAAACAACCACCGGCTCACTAAAAATAGACCTGTAAAGAGAAGAACCGGCAAGAAACTGCGGTCTTATCTTTATATATAGAATTCTTCTATACGTGTGTATGTCACTGAACTCCTAAACGGCTGGACCGAATTTAATGAAATTTTTTGTGTGTCTTCAGTTTCAAGAATGGTTTAGATCCACAATCGTTCCACTACAACTTTTTATTTTATTTCCAAGTTGACGAACTTAAGTCGTGCGAGGGTTGACGTCAGACAGGCGGCCGGGCATAAAACATCTACAGCGTGATTTACGTGCCCTGACCCCACCTAGGTCGGATAAGGGCGGGAGGATGTTGATGATGGTGATATTACTCTTAGATTTATTTGACCCCCGAAATGGGAGACTTTTTTTCAATGTGAGAAGCTGGCCATCAATTAGCATCCGCCCATTGACATTTGCAACACCCGAAGGGTTGCAGATGCGGTGCCACTTTTAATAAAGTGCCAAGTTTCATGTCGTACAGTATAATATTTACTCTTTCAATTACATACTATCACATGGAAAATGCATGCACAAATCGTTGTGTTGTGGCCAAGTTAAGCACGTTTACTACTGAGACGTTTAGAGTTTTAGAGTTAGGATCCGTTTCTGAATTTATATTCCCAGTTTGCAACAATTCATTCGATTTAGGTTCCCCCGCGACGTGTTGAAGGAGAATTTTATGGATATTACACGTCAACATTTCCCCATCGCAATATCGTTCGCCGGGCTTAGAAAATAAATGTAAACAAATTGCATCGTAGAAATTGAATTCACAGCGTTCAGCGTATTTTATGTCTCGGTTACTGCCATCAGTGAGTTTGCATTTCACATTTGTTGTTTCCGTATTGGTTGTGTTAAACGATTCCTCCATGGAAATCGTTTTGTGAACGTTAGTTGTCAATTTTGATATCGTTATTCATTAGAGAAGCATTACTGTTATCGTCAAAATAATACTACCTTCTCGGTAAAGAGTTGCCAGGAAATAATTATCATGTTTTTTATTGTTTTTTTTATTTATTTATTTTTTTTTTTATTTAATCTTTATTGCACTAAAATTGTGCAAAGGCGCTATAGCTTAATGCTATATTGCATTATCTACCAGCTAACCATAGGTAGAACAGAGACATAATGACAAGGGCAGTAAAGTAGTTGTAATCGCTACATAATCAAAAAAATAATTTTCTTACATTTTAAACACAGATTCCCTAGAAATATTTTATACGGCAAAACACCGTTTGCCGGGACAGCTAGTATTTATATAAATTAAATTTTTTGCCTCTAATCCCTCGTTATTTGATGAAAATAAAAGTGGCTAAACATATATTTATCACGAGGTTTTTATTTCCAAACACCGTATACTTTTATGACGTTTTTATTTCTAAACTCGGCCGACCTCTTCGCTGGTGGCGAAAAAAAAAAGAGAAAATCCCAACGCAACCGAATAAAAAAAAACCGCTCTGTAAGCAATCGAAGCCATCGCGCGATGCAAAGATAAAAGGCGCGAAAACAATAGAGCCGGTATCGGAAAGCTCTCTCTGCTGCGAGTGGAGAGTGGCGCCCTCTGCGAGTGGGGGGGGACCCTTCTCGCCAACAAGTGTGCCGATTCGTACTCGACCGCTCGCTTTGTTCTCGCATCGAGCCCAGCGAAGGTGGGATACTGTCAAACGTTCGAAGCTTTCGAAACGAGGGCCTACACCGAATGTTATTGACGGTA